ATACCAGGATGATGTGTAACTAGGAAATGCGTTGAGCAATAGAGCCAGTATTAACAAAGTATCATGCTTTTCTTTCATAATCCATGGATTCTGAAAGAAAGGCATGATACTTTGTTATTACCGGCTCTACTGCTCAACGCATTTCCTAGTTCCACATCATTCTGGTATATACTCAATCGGATAACGTTGGGGTGCTTGTGAAAAAAAAATACTGTCTTGATAGGCTTCTCCAGTACAAAAAGAGCTGAATTCTTTCGTTGTGCCAATCGATTTCAGTTCATTTTCAGATTCCTCCAGAAGTTTTCGATTCTACGGGTTTCTAAAGATCAGTTTGATCGTTTCGATAATGGGAATATAGGAAAATGTTTCAGGCACTCGAATTTTTTTGATGCTTTCCTTGCACATGACGGAAATCTTCGCGATAGGATAATTTTTTTTCCGTTGGCTCAGGAACTGATACTGCCATTTTCTTCAATAATTTAGTTCTTTTGGGATATGTCATGACTTCTGAGAAAATACCAGAAAAATAAAACTCGTTCAATAAGTCTACCGCATTTTTTGCGATTATGTCAATACCGTTATCTCGTAGGAAAGTCATAGTTAAAATACGTAGACGTTGTGAAATCTTTTCAACCAGATTGTCACAAAGATCAATGATTTCTACAGATTTGGATAATGGAGGTCGGCAAATCCCCACTCCAGCGGCTTTCTTAATTTCCTCCAGAGTAATAGGTGTTTGGTTGAGGTTTTGATTCCTGTTTCGTCTAAATAGAGCGTATTCGGTAGTCGCTTCCTCTGCCAAGGAACTTCAGTCAGGTTGCTCCGAAAGACAGCTTAACCTTACTTTTTTTATTGGAAGGATATTAGAAAGGATCTCAACATTTGGAGTGACATCCATTGGAGCTCTAACTCCACCAGATAATGGTGGATGCTCATGTAAAATATGCCGCTTCAGAGAAGTAAAATGAGCATATGTCATTTTGCACATCGAAAAAGTGCAACTGAATGCAACAAAAGTTCCATTAAAATGGTTTTCTTTCATGTGCATATTGACATGGCGTTGTAAGCCATCGACGTATCTTGGTACAAGCTGCTTACAAAAAAAGGCAGAGTATCGCATCTGCCAATTCCATATAACTCTAATAAAGAAATAAGTTAATACCTACGAAGAATTTGTTTAAGTTTACTTCTCACTGGCTCTGCTTCAGCCTCGATTTGAAGCATAATATCTTCCATTTTCACAAAATATCGCGTCTATTTCCTAACAAGCACAAGCACAACGCAAACGCACGCTTGCACGTCACTAGAGAAACTGAAAAAATAGCCGACTCTACTTTATAGCGAATTCGTTTATTATTCAGTTCCAACCTGGATCGGGTATCAAGATTGGGTCTGCTTGTTTTCTGACAAACGTCAGTTTGATCGTTTGTTTTTAAAACCCAGTTCAGGTTGAGGTTCGCACTGACAAAAAGTTCGGTTTCGCACTGGGTTGGAACTGGTTCCAACCCCGATAATAAACGAATTCGCTATTAGATTGTATCGACGACTGGATTTACGTCGATCTTACGACGTCAGCAGCGAAAGATGGCTTGCTGGTTTCGTCTTCAACGTTCTGCATTACATACCATCAAAGATTCAACCGGGAGTTTAGGCTATGAACTTCTAAACGACGTTCTATTTCTAAAAAACTCCTTGCAAGGGAATTTGCTTGGTTAGAACCGTCCTGCGTTTCAGGCCAATTCTAATTCCAATGCGTGAAGTTAGCTATGTTCCACTTGCAGTACAAGTAAAATAAAGAAACTTTCTCTAGAGCACAAAGTGAATTTGATGCAACAATGAGACTTCCCCACACCAGAGGAAAACCATTTCGGATGAAATGATGACTCGATCGATAATGGATAAGTTCTAACTATATTTACAAAATGGGTTGACTTAAATACTACATAATTGATTATTCAGCAACTTGGACACCCTATGCTTCCTAATGCTTAAAAGAACGATTGCTTTCATCAATCTTATCGATACCCTGGAAGCATAGGGCGATACAATTCATTACCCCTTTCATGACTAGGGATTCATATTTTTGCATTCTACGTTACATTAAATTGCCATCGCGATTGCTTGGGTTTATATCGCACCCGAATTGAATCGCTGATCCTAGCACAAATGATTGCTTAGATGAATGAACTGACAACATTCATATTATCCGCGAGACCCCGCTTGCGCTTGGTGAGTCAGCTTGATTCTCCTTGTGCACTTGCTCTCAATGGGTGGAGAAATTTCATGTTTGTTTACGGCTAGTTGCAAGGTAAATTAAATATATGCAAACCGCTGATTGAAACAGAGAAGGGCAGTGACAGATTGTTTTCCTGGAAAAGGAAGTAAGGGAGAACAGCCCATAATGCACCCCTGGGGTAAAATGCCCACTTATTGAAAAACATCGATAACTTTTCCTCAGATGCGTTTTCCGGGTAACGGTTTGTGATTGTTTTCAACTGGAGGTTTCACAAATAATTCTTGATCATAAAATCATATTGACCTATTGATTCCTTTAAAAAAATAGCATTTTGTGCAAAACAGGACACAGTTGTTAAAATCATCGACTGAAAATTAAGCTTTTAACACAGACAAACAGACATAACACTCCTAAGTTGTTCATCGAACAAGCATTTAACGAACAATTTAAAAGTATCGTAGTTGGTAGTACCGCCACCTGTGGCGCGCATAGTCAATTCCCTTGCGTTTGACTTTTACACACTACCGCCATCTGTTCAACGTAGTGCCCACCACTGTGTACTCAATAGATGGCGGTAATGTTTTAGTGACGATGTTTTACAGTGAGAAATATTCAATGTGTTATGTCTGTTTGTCTGTGCTTTTAACATCATATATCACAAAAAAATTTAACGAATTTACTTTTCGTATATTTTTTAGATATTTTACTTGATGAATCACAGTTTAACCAACCGGTGAACACTCGTGTTTATTTCAGTTACCATGGAGACGTAATTTGTGATTAGCCCCGGTCCCTTTCAAATTGTATCATTATTTATGAACGGCCTTTTATTTAAAATGACGTTTCACATTCATCTAGTGATATCCGATTTTCATTCGAATAATCGTTTAATCGATTAACGAACCGAAAAGTAAACTATTTATAATCGGTTATATCATGCCGATATAAGCATTAACACCTCCACAGGATCATCACCTATCGTTTCAAACATGTGCTGCACTCTCATTGGTGGAAAAATGGCAGCACAGCGAACAAAAAATATTCGATTAGTTGTTAATCGAGTAATTAAAAAATGGGACATCTCTGATTTTGGTGTGATTGTTTTGATAAAAATGAGCGCAAAATTTCATCTCTTCCGAGGGGGCAGCAAAACCACAAAATTACCTTGAATACGGGGGGTTCTCATTGGATGAAAGGGACCGTGAAAGAAGACACTAAAATAGAAAGTTTTTCTTCCGACAGTTTCATCTTAGTATTCATCTTTGGTTTAACATTCTATTGAGATTTTGAGACCTTATTTCTGATGTAACATAATGAAATAATCATTTGAAATACCGCATCCCTTTGCATTATCTACTTGCAGGGGTTATGGTTTGTCTACCATGGGGTGCATTTTACCCCAATGTTGTGTTGCGTTTTGACCATTGTTGTCGTGCGTCTTGCCCCAATGTTGTGGTGCATATTGCATCATGAATCAGGCGTTTTGCCCCGCTATCATTTTGGAAGCAATTTATAAAATACCTTGAAAGTCATGGAAAATCATCCTTTTGTAGTTCTAAATCACTCGATCTTCGTAGAAAACATGGTAATGAACCAAAAGCCATTACTTTCTTCTTGATTTTAGCTTCCATTCGCCAGCAATTGACGATTTTGCTTAAACGGTGCGTTTTGCACCATCTTACCCTACAATTGCTGAAGTTCGTCAAATTTTTTAACCGATCGGTAGTTGCTTATTTTTTCGGTACGGTACGGAAATAACGAAAATAATTGTTAACAAAAGATCAGTAAAAACAATTATTTTGACGATAATTTAGTAAAACTCACGCTTTACGCGAGGTTTTCGGTACCCAGATAAAAATTTAAGTTTAAATGTGCACACACATACACAAACAAACATACATATACCATACACACGGATACATAGACATTTTCTGATGTCGTCAAACTGAGTCAATTTGTTTATGAAACTCGGCCCTGCGGGAATCCCAAGCGTACAAATGGTACTTTATATAATAGGTCCGACCATAACGCATTTTTTGGTCCAACCATGAATGAAATTCTTGCTGAATAAAATTTAACGCTTTTCATCTTTATTTTGTAAAATAAATCTTTCTTCAGTATTATTAGAAACTAGAAAGGAAGACTTTTTCACCAAACACACATTTTTCATGTCCATATGATAGGGGAAATGGATGTAATGTCGGAATACTGTCCCTAATTTGAGCCCATACATAAATTCAGCAATCGACTAAATTTTCAATAGCGACCAAAAACATCCATTGGTACCGTCCCAATGACGCGTTCATCTGAATAAAATTGATAAATAGCAGGCCCAATCTTTTATTTTCCTTTATTTGTTTTCCGTCGATCTTGTTTTCCGTGCTGAGCATCAATGCTACCGACACCAGGGAGGCAGCTTCCACACCTGGACCCTACCTATCGACCCATCAACACATGAACCGGGGACCAACGGCTTTACTTCCCGCGTGATCAGAGATGTTATGCCTCAGAACATCCCGGCGGCGCCGACTGGGAATGAACCCAGGCCTGCTGGGGTGAGACGTAATCACGTTTACCATTACACCACCGGCGCCGCTATAGGCCCAATCTTAGATCCATAGGCCAACAATAGAGCCATTTCCCCTATATGCATAGAAAAAAACACGGCATACATTTAGACGCAGTGTGAAAATGACATCAATAGGTCCAACCAAAATACATTTCCCTAACACCTTAATACAACTAATTTTCGTTCTCCTTTCAGTTGCGTCCACATAACCGACATCGGTGTCGGCTACATTTCGACGATGCTCTCCCTGTCGGCCCTATTTCTTCGCTGGTGCACGCAAATCCGCGACTTTGGCCTGCAACATCTGTGTTCGATGCGCAACCTCCAAGTCCTGTCGCTGGCCGGTTGCCCCCTACTCACCTCTTCCGGCCTATCTAGTCTGATACAGCTACGCCATCTACAGGAACTGGAACTGACCAACTGTCCGGGAGCATCGCATGAACTGTTCGACTACCTAAGGGAGCACTTGCCGCGCTGTTTGCTAATTGAATAATTAATCGAATCGTCGTTCAGTTGGTTGAAGTCGTTTCTGTTGTGTTTTCTTGTAATCCTTATGTGAATAGACGGCAACCGTGTTTGGAACTGTTTTGATAATCGTTAGAATATCCAGTAAATCTATACGGAGATTAGTGGAAAATAAAAGCAAGTAACTTTACCTGAAGCAAGCAGAACCTACGCATCGCTAAAATTAAGACAAAATGCAAGTGATTAAGGATAAGTTGACAAATTATTTATAACGGAAAGCCATACCTAAGAGACTTTATAGGTACTTTTAATTATTTATAGTGTTACACTTTGGTAATTACATTGGAACTATTTTGGAGTGCAAATGTGAGAGGTATCAATGAATAAATATTTTTTTTTTTAATAATATCCCGGTATTTAAAAAAAAGTAAACGAGTGTTTCAAACATTGGTATTCCTCCATTCGAATTAATATTCTAATTTGCCTGTAAAGCATTAGAAATGGTAAGATACATGAACTTTTATACTTTACAACTGGAATTTGCTATTAATAGAAACTAGCTAAGATTAATTTAAAACCGCTGCCTGCCAGGCATGCACGATTTGGAACCCAAAAAACAATTTTAGTTGGTCAATCTACGAATTTGTTAGTTGGAAATGAACGGAACAAATGTTTAATCAAAAACTTTATTGAAACAAATCGGTAAACTGCAACCAGTATTTTCCTTTGATGTAATTACACTCAAAACATTCAAACATTTGCAAGATTTGTTCCGAAGATAGTGTGGGAAGAAACACGGTTACGACACCAAAATATCAGTTTATCTTGTCGAAGCTAGTTTCCATTGAACAAACTCTAATGGTGTCGAACATTCTAATAATTATCCTCCATCTCCAAATGACACACCTCTCTTCCAATTATTTCTGTTACATCTTGAAAATACAATGTGCGATGGACACACATTACTGCATTGTTGTCAAACAAAAATTCTCAATGTTACGGATACGTGTTCGAATGTTTAAAATGAAACCCTTGTTTAGAGTATTCTAATAAACATTACCGGAAGTAAAAAGAAACGAAGAATGATTGTAGTAATGCGATAATGGCTGTGTAGATATAAATTGTGTATAAAAATCATTTAGGTTACCTTTACATTAAAAAGTCAGGTCTGGCATGAGTGCAATTTGAGTGGCACCCTGTAAAAGAGTGCATACTAAACGAATTTCTGAATCGTTTTAATACAAACAAAAACAAATAAAGCATTATTTAGTTTACCAGAGAGCTAAACACATAATTTAAAAAAGCATAGCACTGAAATCGACTAGAGAAATACACATTACTAAATATAACAAAAACAAAAAACAAACTTGTTACAACAAATTGACTATTGTGAAGACGTTGCAAATCGATGGGAAGAGAATATGATGTAAATATTTTTTTAACTGTAAGTGGAAGATGCCAGTTGTTGAACGTATTGTAGAGTCCTATTAAATCAAACCAAAAACCAACTTAAAAGTCCTTAACAGTTTTCTTACCAGTAAATGCGATCCTAACGATATTAGCAAACCAAACTGTAGTACGACTAACATTAGAAACTAAACTCAATAGCCCATATGATGAAGAACAATGATACGTCGTGACGAGAATAGTAAGTGCATTACCTATTCTAGTAAAACGCTAACCAAAGTCGAGGTGAAAGTAAAAGAAAGACCGCCCAAGTCTGACTGATTTTTCGAGCTCCTTATTAATAGAAGATTCGTCATTCAAAAACATAAAAAGTCACATCCCTCACACTAAAATCCTTAGGCGCAATTACCCATTTCGGATACCAAATCACCATTGATCGATGATTATGCTGCTTGTCTCTTATGGTGGAAGCGTTAAGCAGGATTATATTTTTTACCAGCCCTTTACCAGATAGACAATGTGTCAAATGTTTGGCTTAGATCGAATTTAATCCTGCTTGAAGCATCATACGACCGCCAGCGTCTGTTTGATAACGTGAATCGTCTCGAAGTAAAAACGTAAACAGACTACTCACATCCTTTTTGCTATTGAAAGCGTTTTTAAGAAAACTGATAAAAAAAATAGTAAAGGCGATTATTTCCAAGAAATGTAATAAATAGTTCTATATTACAATAACTATTACATGATAATGAAATAAAATAAAACCAGAAAGCTGATACCAAGACACATTTTACAACTCTTTCATTCATCTTCTTCTTCCACGTCTTCGTCCTCCTCTTCGGCTTCCTGTTCTTCCTCGCCGTCTTCTTCCTGGCTTTGGGTAACCCACCAGGATAGCAAGCCCAAGCCGGACTCGTTGATCGCAGCCATAATCCGATAAGGGGTTTTATTGGCGTCCGTCGTTGTCGTACTTGTACTTGGAGCTTCCTGATCAGGTGGGCCAATTGGAGAACTTTCCTCAAACACTTCTCCAGAGACGCGAAACTTAATGTTTTCGCCAATGTCCATGTAAAGATCGTGCTTTTTGCCATCCTCCAGCGGGTATTCCCAAACCCAAGCCTGCTCGGCTTCCTCGAACCGGGAGGGATGCTGTAGTGCCGATGGCGGTATCAGAATATCGTCAAAGAATCCTAATGTTACGTGCACACCTTCTCGACTGCAGCTTCTGATTTTTCCTGTGATAACATCCCCTATCATGGGACGGAATACTATGTAGCGGAAATTGACTTCCGTGTGAGAGGCACCGTCTCCGGGCAGGATAATAGAATCACCCAACTTTACAATGTCTTTTAATGCAATGCACAGGCCAACATTCAACAGGACCTACCAGTGTTTAAAATTAAAAAGTTATTTTAGATCAATCCAACTACCTTAAAAAATCATTAATTTATTACCTTATTGGCCAACTTTCTATTGACTTCATCCTTGATTGCCTCCGGCAGCTTCAAATTGAAAAGTTCTGGAGCAATACGAACAGTATCCTTTAGTTCAGCTAGTACAAACATTGTGCGGTTCAGGTGATATTTTTACAATTAAACTTTGTGATCATAATTCAATTACATTAATAATAATTAATAGTATCGACGTTCCAGGATACAGCCGGTTAATCCTATTTATCTTTCACGGTTTATTCATCCACATGTAGGTATTTAAATATATTAAAAATAATATAAAATTTTCAGCTCAGCAGATCTCAAAACGACAAGTAAAGCAAACACGGAAAAACGTCAACTTCTTAAAAAGTACTAGAGCAAAGGTTACACTCAAAAATATTAGAACAAAAAAGGATTAAAAATTAACCAGTTTATGGTTTAACAATAGACCTTTTTGACGTGTAATAGCCCTAATAAAAATAACCATAAAAGAGAGCTTAACCAACAATCAATACGAAACTAACGATTTTAAATTGGCTCACCACTTTAGTAGCCTATTGGTCCCAAGCAAACGATTAACGTACCCTATTCTAGTTGAAATTCTATTACTACACTATGTTTGTTTTGATTCGCTATGAAAGTTTGACAGATAACATCAGGGGTGTGTGGATTCATGCAGAACATGCAGGGGTGAGTGAAATAGCTTGGGACTGCTTGGGACCGTTGTTCTGGTACTGAGTGAGCCAAAAATAATAATGATTTTCTTCGGGACCCAGTGGTCTTAGAGTTACCTCTATGGAGTTACCTCTATGGTATAAACGCGAACCATCACATGACATTACCGATAATGGTTATAAATTGTTTATAATCCTTGCTAAACTTCAACTGAAATGGTTATGCACGAAACGAAAATCAATTATTTAATTCATGTGTTTCACTTATACATTTTTGCCAAAGCATCAGCCTTATACCAACAATCAATACGAAACTAACGATTTTAAATTGGCTCACCACTTTAGTAGCCTATTGGTCCCAAGCAAACGATTAACGTACCCTATTCTAGTTGAAATTCTATTACTACACTATGTTTGTTTTGATTTGCTATGAAAGTTTGACATATAACATCAGGGGTGTGTGGATTCATGCAGAACATGCAGGGGTGAGTGAAATAGCTTGGGACTGCTTGGGACCGTTGTTCTGGTACTGAGTGAGCCAAAAATAATAATGATTTTCTTCGGGACCCAGTGGTCTTAGAGTTACCTCTATGATTGTACCACATGGCAACACTACTACTAGATTGAACTAGCATTTTCACCAAATGTACTGGAATGTTTTCGTTCTATCTCTTTCACTCTACTCAAAACTGAAATGCATAAAAAAATGACAAACTCTTTGCACACTGTCAAAGAATCATTGTACACAAAATCAACTTTGTTCAAATCAAAACAAAAAAACTAACCCATCTGGTGGATGATGGCACAAGCTTCCAATAAAATTCTATTACTTTTTTTTTGGTTTGTTTTTTTCCGTCGATCTTGTTTTCCGTGCTGAGCACCAATGCTACCGACGTGCCAGGAAGACAGCTCCCACACCTGGACCCTACCTATCGACCCATCAACTCATGAACCGGGGACCAACGGCTTTACTTCCCATCCGAAGGAAGGCGTGATCAGAGATGTTATGCCTCAGAACATCCCGGCGGCGCCGACTGGTATTGAACCCAGGCCTGCTGGGGTGAGAGGTAATCACGCTTACCACTACACCACCGGCGCCGTTAAAATTCTATTACAGTGAACCACATTATTTTAATGGATTTCTTCGCCAGTTAGTCGTCTGTCACTTCGTTTGTGATGTAACACTCATTGATTATGTCATTGAAAAAAATCGTCCAATGTAACATGTCCGATGTACAACTCGACTTGTCAAAACGTCCTATGTGTTTTTTTTCTGGTTGCAGTATGAATTTCAAAGTAAAAGTGTAATTTTTCCGTTTCTTCTGAATTATCTACGTTATTTTAAACTGACAACATTAAAAATAGTATTGCAAAATGTATTGTTTTTAAACAGTTAAAATAATAATCAGTCGAACTTCAACTTCGATTTTCTCAAAATGGTGGATATGTTACATTGGTCTATTTGAAAAGTGACGCGAGAGTTGACAAATGAACAACGTCGATTGGATTGATATCAATGGGGTGGATTGTACCCAAATTTGGGTAGTTTTGAAATAGCGTGTACTATCTTACTTTAGAAATCGTTTTTGGTTCAGTGCAGTTCAGCTGAAAAGCTGGAAGTACTAGATTTGACATTTTGCTTTAGTTTCTTTTCATCACAAAACCTCGTGTGAATCTATCGAAAACACTGTTTCGGTTCTCTTCGCGTGCACGGACAATACGAAATGCAGGTGGTAACATTTTGAATTCCGAAGATTCCAAAAAATCTCCAGCTCAAGTAGCTTCAGGCAAAAGTGATAGGGAAATATATTTGGTATTAACAATGAGTGCAGGTCAGTTCGACGATGCGTTGGAAGACACAACTGAGTCGTTGAATATCATCAATCTCAAAAAGACAGTTCCATCTGAGGAGATTCCTGGAGAAAACCCAGTTCCGATCCCTTCTACAGAAGTTGCCATAGCTGATGCTATCTTCGGTAACTCGCGATACCGAGCGAAAGAGCAGTATTCTGAGGACGATGAAGATTACAGCGGAAGCGATGATGAGTACTACGGCTTCGATGTGGACAATGTGCGAAAGAATCAAGCGGCAAACATGCAGCAATCGCACAGCAATGTTCAAAGTTCCAGCCAGAAAGTATCCAACTTCCAACCTGCCGATGCCTTATTTAAGAAATTTACGAACAAAATAAACGTAGAAAAGTATGAAGGACCAATGGCGCTTCCTAATCATGCTAAAAATACGTTGATAGAAACCCAACGGAAGGCGGACAGTGATCGACTTCGAAGTAAAGATAAACAGGACCGGGCCACGGCGGAGCAGGTCATGGATCCGAGAACTAGAATGATTCTCTTCAAGCTGCTGAATCGTGACATGATTTGCGAGATAAATGGATGTATCTCGACGGGAAAGGAAGCGAATGTTTACCATGCCACCGCGAAAACTGGAATGGACTACGCCATCAAAATTTTCAAAACTTCAATTTTGATCTTCAAAGACCGCGACAAGTACGTAACGGGTGAGTTTCGTTTTCGACACGGTTACAGTAAACATAATCCCCGAAAGATGGTACGGACATGGGCCGAGAAAGAGATGCGGAATCTTGTACGCATGAAAAAGTGTGACCTGCCCGTGCCGGAACCGATTCTGCTCCGCAGTCATGTTCTCGTGATGGAATTCATTGGGAAAGATGGATGGCCAGCACCAAAGCTCAAGGATGTTGAATTGAGTGGATCGAAAGCACGTGAATTATACCGCGACGCAGTTGAAATGATGTGGGCGATGTACAGTAAATGTAAGCTGGTGCATGCCGATTTGTCCGAGTTCAATCTTCTCTACCATGATGGGAAAATTGTCATCATAGACGTGTCGCAGTCCGTAGAACATGAACATCCCCATGCTCTGGAATTTCTGCGTAAAGATTGTAACAATATAACGGATTTTTTCCGGAAAAAGGACGTGTCCACTATGACGGTAAAGGAACTGTTTGACTTCATTACCGATCCTACCATTACGGAAGAAAATATGGAGGACTGTTTGGAAAAAATGTCGGAAAAGATCGCCAACCGTAGTTTTGATGAGTTCACAGAACAGGAAAAACTTGAAGAAGCCGTTTTCAAGCAAATATTCATTCCCAAAACGTTACACGACGTGTACGACATCGAAAGGGATATCTTCGGAAAGAAGAACAAAGATGATTTGGTTTATAAAACGATTACGGGTTTGGATGCCAACTTAAAGGTGGCTGAAAATCCTAAAATTCTACAAGAGCAAAGCAGTGAAGGTGTGTATTTGAGCAGAAGAAAGTCCTCAGCGGTTATTTTTCATTCTTTAATTCAATTTATTTGCATTCTAGATCGTCCATGTGAAGGTGACCCAGCCCAGGATGAGGATAGCGAAAGCAGTAATTCAGCAGATGACGGTGAAAATGACGGAGAGTCTAAACAATCCGGAGCCGTTCGAGACAAAAACGAAACAGCAGAGGAACGCAAAGCCCGCAAAAAAGCCGTTAAAGACGAGCAAGCCGAAAAACGTAAAACAAAAGTTAAAAAGCACATAAAGAAACGAAAAGAGAAGATGGGGGCTAAAAAGTGAAACAAAATCACGGTGTATAGTAGTGATATTTTCCAATTAAAAACAGTTTATTCCTGCATAAGTACGGAAACTAGCTAGTTTTAAATGTTGTCATCCTTGTATTTGGTTCGATAAGTTTCTCAGGAAAGAAACTCCCTTTGAAAAAATGTTGTATAAAATTACAATTATTCATTTTCACCCGTGGAATGTAAAACTAATGCTATTTCTATAGTACGCGCATAATATAGCATTACCCGAGTAAAACTATGTCGATAAAAAAAAATCAGCCCTTAAAATTGGTTTGCCTACAATAGATGATCACATGTGTTTGTCATGGATGTTAGTTACATCGGCAATCGTCGTCTATTCTCACTGGTAGAATCTCCTCCGCAGACTAAGGTAGCACAGCAATCGATAGAAGAGCGTCATTGTAATCAATATGCACAGCTCAAACTGCAGTGTTGTATTGTCTATCCGCACGTAGTGCAGCAGGACTTTGGGATCATCGAAATGGCAGTACATTTCGTTGCAATCCAACCGCTGGCGATTGTATCCGAAAACTACCAATACGACGGACACGACGCCTCCCCGAATGAAGGATGCACGCATCAGCCATTGCATTATTGCCGGAATCTGAGGTGCGAAATCGAAACCGTAGATGGCCAGTCCGAGGAAAGGTGCTATCGTTAGTGGACCGATCGCTGATCCATTCTGAAATAGAACAAAAATGTGTACTTCCAGATATACAAGTGAGGACATAATTGGCACTTACCATCACATTAAACGTGGCCCCGATCATTAGGCCGAATCCTTCGGCGCATAGCGACACGAGCATACCGACGGCTGTGAAGAGTGCATAACGGAAGAACTCGGCTGGTAGTCCTGCCAACCAGTACACGATCATGGTGAAGATTACATTTAGGAATATTTGAACCGGCAGTCGAGACAACGTCAGTGCTAGGTAGTAAGGGAACAAGCCGTACCAGCGGTTGAAGCATTCCTTTTTCACCAGTTTCACCTCGCGTGGATCTGTAAGTGTTCATTTTTGTAATACATAATGACCTTTCCGACGACATTCGAAACAAGGGTTGGGAGGGGCGAATAAAATATAAAAAAAAAACAACAATAAAACATGAAATTTCAAAACGTATATCAAATTTCAACCAACATAAATTATTTCTTAGCGTGTGATTTATTTGCATATTAATCAACCGTGACTTGTGGCTCCGAACAATTGCAAGGGCTATAGCCTGGCTGTGTGCTGTGGAATTTCCTATGCACATGGGACAGGCATGCTTCCATCAGTGCATGTATTGTATAAAAATTAAAATATTTTAAATAGTTCATCGAGAAAAAACAAACTGACACCACCTTAGGAAGAACATTTTAGCAAGGCTTCATAATAACACAAAATGGCATGGTTTAAAAGTATTAAAAAACCTATAAAATACGTACTGGAATTGTTTCGTTACAAGGCCTAACCACCCTCGTAACCACCTACATAGTTTTGCAGATCCGTGTCATTTATAGCTCCTCGCGAATCTCATGCACGTGTCCAGAAAAACACAAAGTGTAGTGTATGTAGTATGTATCGATTGTTATATCGCGGGAATCACCAGAAACCGTTTGGTCAAAAAAAGGCGAAGATATGACGTTTTGTTATTGTTGTTCTTGTGTTTTTTACTCATTTCGGTAACGGTGGTGGCGCGGCTGTCCAGTAACTGAGATTGAAGTAGCACATTAAAGAAAATAGAATGAACAACCGTTGTTTTTTTTAGCGTTCCCAGAGGTGTTATAACGGTGCGGTTGGAACAAATGGAGCAATCTGGGTCAACATTTAGTGAGATCCATCCATTTAATAAAAATTAAATTTATTCCAGTACATAACATAAAATGCATTTATAAATGCAACAAAATTCAAAAATTAAATACGACAGGGCATCGTTTGCTGGCTCTACGCGCGGCAGCACCTAATTGTGGGTTTCTTCGATACCCGACTTAAGCTTCAGGTGGCTGCAGTGGCTCTTCTTTTCCTTCTATTCCTCAATAGATAATGCGAATAAGGGCGTCTGATGCGTTGTGATCAGTGAAGGAAATCAAGCGAGCATGATCCGATTTCCAGTTTGTCGTAAACTGTACAGATCGTGATCTATGTACAAACTACGACCAACGATAAGTCCTCTTCCAACTTGAAAAAAAGCTATTGCATAGGAAGTTCAAAGATAACAAATCCATTGTTAGACTGAGTAATGCTTAGAGTAGTGTTACCATTTTCGCTCATTATATTATACACAAATCGCAATATGTGCTTATTTCACGGGACGAGAGTAAGTGTCTCTCTATTATTTTCCTGTGAGTGTTATTAATTGGCCATTTGGGGTTACACCAAGTAACAATTCAGTAACCATTTAGCATCCACTCTGATTTATTATGGTTTTATAACGGCAATGAACAATCCATTTAGTTTAAATATAGCATTTCGAAGTGTAAAACATTCCCGCTTAGTAATTCAGCTTTTTGCTGTTTTAAAAACCTTTTATAATCTGGCAAGAAAGTCAAAAACTGTCTTGTTTTAAAAATAAATTTAAAACAGTTATCAATCCCTCCTTAAAACTGTTCTGCAATTCAAGCATAAACGTCATTAGCAATTGTTTATTAATGTCTTGATAAAATACTTTATAAACGTGTTCTATCATTATAAAAGCAACCACAAAACCAGTGATGGAAAAGTTCGCAAAAAATCACTATGACTCACGATTGTTTCCCTTAGTGAACTTCGTGAAACATCGCGAACTTTTCCAACACTGCACAAAACCATTAGGTCTTGCATTAGACCAAAAAGCATTTATTGTTGCTTTTTAGGCTTTTTAAAGTGCATCATTAACTCCTCAATCGATATGATTCCTGAGGATCATCAAGAAAATGGTCCACCATCGCGCCAGGCTGGCCGCACCAGCTTAAACAACGTATTGGAGGTCGAACCAAGTATGTATATAAGTTCGGGTTCGGCTCCGGTAAGTACAGCAAGTAGCTTAAGTAGGGTTGAGGCTTATGGGAACCTAGGTAGGAGTGTGCAAAATTTACCTCTTTCATACTCACATCCCAACCCAGAGACACAAATAAACTCAATTAGCTCCTTGTATGTACCTAAGACCTATCCAAGCAGAGGGCAGGCAGTCTCAAATCAGTTTAGGAGTGGAAACAATTATATTTCTATCACCTCAGCTCCCCATCCCAACATCCCAGTGGCACCATCACACTGTCGTCCTCCAGTGCTGAGTGTGTCGAGCTATCAGGGCCCAATATTCTCGTTCCCAATAGCGGGTTCCTCAGCTCCTCCTTTACCACTCGCGTCGAATACGCAACATACCATAAATCATACGATACTTCAAGATCGGAGACACGCGATACCTGTTCATGCTACTAGTGTTCCGGAGTGGTCTACTGTAACAAACAACTGTGGTGTTTCTTATTTGGTACCAGTGGATTCCGGTACCAGTTCTGGTGGACCAGCAGCGTATCTTCCTCCCATGGCGGGCAACAGTTTCAACAACGTTCCTGTTCCAGAGATTAACTCCAGAGTTGAACCTCAATACAGTTCATCACAAATTCCTGCATCTATCGGTCCGGTACCAGTGGATTTCGGAATGAGTTCTGGTGGACGAGCAGTGTACCTTCCTCCCATGGCAGGCAACAGTTTCAACAACGTTCCTGTTCCAGAGATTAATTCCAGAGTGGCACCTCAATACAGTTCATCACAAATTCCTGCATCGTTCGGTTCGGTACCAGTCTATCATTATCCTGTGGAAAATCAGGCAGCCAACCAACCAACCGCTCAGCAACTTGCAGCACGGCACGTCGTTCCTAAAGATCTTCCATACTTCTCGGGAAACCCTTCGGAATGGCCGCTATTCTGGAGCAGTTACGAAACGTCAACACGAATCTGTGGGTACAGTGGAGCGGAGAACCTTATGCGCCTTCAGCGCTGCCTAAAAGGTGAGGCCAGGAAAGCAGTCAACTGTTTCCTGCTCCATCCGTCGAATGTTCCGGAAATAATCCGTACCTTGGGCATCTTATACGGATGACCAGAAGCTATCATTGGAACGTTGCTAGCTGAAGTACGATCAACTCCGGCTCCAAGATCAGATAAACTGGAGAGCGTTATCAATTTCGGACTAGTGGTACGGAATCTCCGCGCCCACCTATTATCTACTGGACAAGTGCTGCACTTCGCCAATCCAATGCTACTCCACGAGTTGGTGGAGAAGCTTCCTGCTAATATTAAATTAGACTGGGCATTGTACACGCAAAGAGTGGAGCATGTCGATTTGCAGACTTTTTCCAGTTACATGAATGTAATCGTCGACGCAGCGAGTAGGGTGGCGCCAGTAATGGAAAAACACGAAAAACCTAAGGGAAAAGCTACCGTAAATGCCCACTCGTCGGGAAGCTATGCTGGGAAGAGTCACACGGAAAAGGAATTTACGACTGTCAACGCAGAGAGTGTCAAGTCAGCTGTCGCGTTTAGTGACCGCCCATGTATTGTCTGTAAAGCAAGCGCCCTAATAAAAAATTAGTTACAGTGACGCTGTGCCCGGTATTCTAATAGGATTGGATAATACCAAAATGAAGAATACGCTAAAGATGCGTGAGGGTAAGGCCAATGAGCCAGTCGCCGCTAAAACAAGGCTCGGATGGGTTTTATACGGGCAGGCAGGAGTTACGAATCAAGGGTCAACTCATCGGATTCTCCATGTATGCACAAGTCACCACGACGATGATCTCCACGAGCTGGTTAAGCAGTTCTTTTTGATAGAAAGTGTAGGAGTTTCAGCATCCAATCCTATGGAGTCAGCAGATGATCGACGAGCACGAGAAATACTTGAAGCCACAACGGTTCGCACGTCTTCCGGGAGGTTTCAAACAGGATTATTGTGGAAGTATGACGACATTAATCTTCCAAACAGTAGGCCGATGGCAGAACGGAGGCTCAATTGCCTAGAGCGCCGTCTGTTGAAATCACCAGAGCTATACGACAAGCTGAGACAACAGATAGCGGAATATCTAGGAAAGGGCTATGCTCACCTAGCAACCGAGCAGGAATTAGCAGAATCGGACCCAAAACGCACGTGGTATTTACCGTTGGGAGTAGTCGTGAATCCGAAGAAACCTAATAAGTTACGTGTGGTATGGGATGCAGCAGCCGTTGTAAAAGGAATTTCGCTCAACTCAGTTTTACTGAAAGGACCGGACTTATTGACACCGCTTCTAGCTGTACTTAGTCGTTATCGGCAAAAGCAAATAGCAGTCAATGCTGATGTTATGGAAATGTTCCATCAAATGTTGATCAGACCTGAGGACCGGCAAGTGCTGAGATTTCTTTTCCGGAATAACCCCGGAGATCCAATCCAAGTATTCGTGATGGACGTAGCTATATTTGGAACATCCTGTTCTCCCTGTTCCGCGCAGTTCGTAAAGAACATCAACGCCGAGGAGTATTTGGCAGAGTTTCCGAGGGCAGCGAAGGCGATACAAGAAAACCACTACGTCGACGACTATTTAGACAGCGTTGACACTGTAGGCGAAGCGATTCAGCTGGCATTAGACGTGAAAGTGGTACATGAACGAGCAGGGTTCGTAATACGCCATTGGATGTCAAACTCTCCTGAGGTTTTGAGAACAATCGGCGAACAAAATACTCAATCGGTGAAGCAATTTGTCATGGATAAGGGCAGCAACCAGGAGCGCATTTTGGGAATGGTTTGGTCTACCTCAGGAGGACATGTTCTCATACACAACGATTTTCCGGAGTGTATGATAGTTCTGTCATACCTATCAAACGCCAAGTGCTTAGTTTGGTAATGAGCGTCTTCGACCCACTAGGACTGGTCGCATCTTTTGTTATCGAAGGCAAGGTCATCCTACAAGAGATATGGAGGAAATCCGTTGGCTGGGATGATAATATTCCAGCTGAACTGCCACGATGGCATCAATGGTTGGGTGTACTACGGACACTGGATCAAGTGAAAATTCCTCGATGTTACTTTCCGGGATACGTTGAGAAAGCGTACGAATCACTTGAACTCCACATCTTCGTGGACGCTAGTGAAAGCGCTTACGCGACCGCTGCATACTTCAGAGTCGTCGACAACGGGGAGGTTCGTTGTTGCTTAGTTCGTGCAAAAACCAAAGTGGCTCCGGTGAAACTTCTTTCTATACCTCGGTTAGAGCTACAGGCAGCTACGATCGGGACACGTTTGATGAAGGCTATAATCGCTGACCACACGGTTCAAATCAAACGTACGATTCTGTGGAGTGACTCAAAAACTGTGCTCGCTTGGCTACGTTCTGATCAGAGGAGGTACCGCCAGTTCGTGGCGTTCCGAGTTACGGAGATCTTGGAGGAGACAGCAGTGACAGATTGGAGATGGGTGCCTTCGAAATGGAATGTGGCAGACGAGGCTACCAAATGGGGCAATGACCGTAACTTCTACGAGAGCTGCAGGTGGTTCAACGGCCCTGAATTCCTATATGAAGATGAGGATAAATGGCCGAAGGAAGACATTACGACGGACGACCCTACAACAGAGGAGTTGAGAATCATCCACGTCCATCGGCAGCTGGTGAAAGAACCTGTCGTGGATTTCAAACGATTTTCGAAATGGGAGAGGCTTGTCAGAACAGCCGCGTATGTCCGCCGCTTCTACAACAATTGTCAACGCAAAAGAGGTGGTTCTGTGTTAGACTTGGGAACCATCAACTGCGAGGAACTGAAACAAGCGGAGAATACAGTGTGGAAGTTAGTTCAAGAGGAGGCCTTTCCAGATGAGATTACGCTACTTCGAAGGAATCAGCACAATCCACCCAACCAGAGGAAAACCGTTGAAAAGAACAGCCGTATCTACAGATTGTCACCATTCCTAGGAACGGAGGAGATACTACGGAAAGATAGTCGTATTGGTGCGGCCCTTTACGTTCCGTATGATACGAAGTTTCCTGTGATAGTTCCTAAAGATCATTATGTAACACATCTTCTGGTTGATTGGTATCACCGTAAGTTCGGTCATGCCAACGGAGAAACCATTGTCAACGAAATTCGTCAGATATATCACGTTCCGGAGCTTAGAGTCGTCGTACAGAAGACCGCTAAACGATGTACCTGGTGTTCGGTATACAGAGCAGTGCCACAAATTCCAAAAATGGGTCAACTTCCAGTAGCTCGGCTCACACCCTACGTACGAGCGTTTACGTTTGTAGGACTGGATTATTTTGGACCATTGACTGTCCGCGTTGGTCGAGCAAGTGTCAAGCGGTGGATAGCACTCTTCACATGCATGACAACCAGGGCGGTACATTTGGAGGTTGCAGCTTCACTATCAGCGGAATCCTGCAGAAATGCGATTCGCAGATTCGTAGCACGGAGAGGAGCTCCTCAGGAAATATATTCCGATCGGGGAACGAATTTCCAAGCAGTAGCCAACGACCTATCCCAGCAGATCCGGGCGATCAACGAAACGCTTGCTACGAAGATTACCAACCATAGAACGCAGTGGAAGTTCAACCCTCCGTATGCGCCTCACATGGGAGGCGTATGGGAACGGCTCGTACGCTCCATAAAAAGTGCTCTTCGATGTCTACTGACGGACAGAAATCCAGACGACGAAACATTGGTCACTGTACTGGTGGAAGCGGAATCGATGGTGAATTCACGCCCATTGACCTACCTGCCCCTTGAAAGCGAGGAACACGAAGCTTTGACGCCCAATCATTTTCTGCTTCTCAGCTCTACAGGAGTAGTTCAACCAGCTGTCAAACCGGTAGATGAACGTGGAGCACTCCGCTCCAATTGGAAAGCTATTCAGGATATGCTAGTTCGTTTCTGGGCACGATGGATCAAAGAATATCTTCCGGTGATGTCTCCTCAATCCAAGTGGTTCGGGGAAGTACGAGCTGTCCAGGTCGGTGATCTGGTAATGATAGCTAGCGAGAAGGAGAGAAATAGCTGGACGCGAGGGCGAATACTGCGAGTCTATCCAGGCAGAGATGGACGAATCAGACGAGTTGACGTGCAAACGGCGGTGGGAATACAACAACGGCCAGTGTCTAAGTTAGCTGTACTGAACTTCACTGAAGATTCTGGTATAGCTGGAAGAAATGGCAGTAATACGGGCGGGGGTGTACGCGACGGAGCCCAGTGAGTTCAGTACCACCCGTATAGGTACTCGAACGACATAAACTCGAGAGAATGTCAGAGGCAGAAAAAACTCCCACCATATCTATACGCTATCTGACTCACACAAAACAATACACAGTGACAAAACAAACACGTTAAAAGTTGAATTGCTTATGCTAAGTTTAGATTTTATTATATTAAATACATTAAAATCGTAAGTAAAATGAATTAAAATGAAATCTATTGTAAATTAAAACCTACATTCTACAGCACAACACAAAACACTGAAGAATCTTTGTTACAATCGACGGAAAACAGACAAAGGAAACTAAAACTGTAAGCTAACCTAAAAACTAATAATTACTTATTACTAAATAAAAACCTTTGTAGCTTGAAGCTTACTCCGATAAAAACGAGTTTGTCTGGAAGAGACTTCCGAACGTCCGTCCCGTAACAGGGGTAGTTAACCCTATTGCTTCATTTTCGAAAAGGGTGAATGCTTCTGTTATGACTGTGTGTCCTGTTGTGTGTTCGGTTGTGGCATATAGGAATACCATTTACCATGACAGGTGGCATTGGGATGTAGTCAGGTGACCGTGATGGAAGTACTCACATTAAACAAAATATACTTTAGATAGGGAACTAATCTCGGAATGAAGGATTTTATCACATAAAGTGTTACTTAAGACGGACGAAGACAAGATTAATTTTGCAGGTCAATGTATAAACGTAGCATAATTAGGATAAAGTGAGAAATTTTTACTTCTAGGCTTATCTAGTGGGAAGAATAGGATGCTGGGGGTCCTCATAGGAAGTCAAATAGGCCTTACACTTAGTTTATTTTAATTATACGCAATAGTGGAAGCTGTTATTGCAACCAATAGAAATAGTAATCAGATCTTCTGTCATATGTTTGCTAACAAGTGAACTTTAGGGAAGAAAGAATTAAGTAAAGTTCAATAAGTAATAATAGGATGAGGCTAGCCTGGTCAGGAATATGTTGATTGTTTGTAGTACGAGTTCGGATGTTAATATAATTGTCTGTATCAGGTAAGGGGCATCTCATTAGTATTAGCTTGGTTTGGGTTTGAATAGGTCAGAATATACCGTGCATAATTATTTGAGCCTATTAGTGAAAATTGCACAGGGGGTGGTTTGTTTAGTTTGGAATGGTTTAAAATATTGAACAATTACTAAAAAGAAAATTTTAAAAACATCATAAAAACCAAACGCCTAAATAATTTTTGGAGGTTGTAGGAAAGTATCCATAGCTAAACACAGAATACTTAACAATACGTTAGTTACAATAAATTTTCGGTTTGTATGGCATAACAATAATTTCCTATAATAGAATCAAGAATCAATTTTAGTCTCTTCAGCAATCGTAAATATTTGAATGATAAGGCTACAGAAAACAATAATAAAATAAACTTATGGCGGTAAGCTCCAACTCGGATTAACTTTTAATACCATCCCTGTTTGGATGATCTGCAAAGTGTTTGCTTAGAGTCGTGTTGATTAACTCTAGTGTCGACATCAAAGCAGCCAGAATTCTTGACCGGGCTTTAATCCAAGGATAACAACGGTTGGAGCTTACCTTTATTTTCCAACCTTTTAACTATTATGACTGTTACTTTGACTATCCCTTATATTGAAAAACTTTTCTTACTATCGGAATTATAAAGCAGAATTCATTTGACCCCTCTGGTTATTATTCTGTGTTGTCAAATCTATATCTCTACCTTAGTTCAATATTTTTCACTGGAGACCTGGCCCTATCACCCCCTTCTGTGCTGGAATACGGAAACGAAAACGAAATTCTTAAAACTTCGGAAAGCTTCGGAACTCATAGCAGGTCAGCGATCGGTGTACAAGTTGAGCGAATCAAATAGAAAATCGAGAAACTTCGCATAGCAACCAATTATGTAGAAGTTCAGAGAACTTCATACAAGCTCGGCTAGATTTTCGGAAATTTTGTGGAATTCATGATGTCCTGAGATCTTGGTCAAATTTCCGGGAACCTCCATCACTGTTCCCGGAAATTTGACCAAGATCTCAGGACATCATGAATTCCCCGAAAATTTCCGAAAATCTAACCGAGCTTGTATGAAGTTCCCTGAACTTCTACATAATTGGTTGCTATGTGAAGTTTCTCGATTTTCTATTTGATTCGCTCAACTTGTACACCGATCACTGAACTGCTATGAGTTCCGAAGCTTTCCGAAGTTTTAAGAATTGCGTTTTCGTTTCCGGAAATATACATGTTCAGCAATCTTGGTAAAAATTTACCTGTAGTTTGTATAAGCTATAAACAAATCGTATAAGTTCAGAAAACTTTGTAAAAGTGGGCGCAACTTTCCAGCAATTTACAGAACTTCCCACAAATGTAGGGAACTTCATAGAGGCTCAGGGATAAGTTAAATTTATTGGGGAAAAGTTCAGGGCGCTTTATTTGAGTTCATGTAATTACATTAAATAAACTTTGTATAAGTACAGGAACCTTTGTATAAGTTCTATAGAACTTTGTTGATATCTATGGATTTTCAATATGATTTCATTAAAGTACTCTGGATATTTTTCAAAGTCATGCAAAATGAAAGGTTTGTTCGGTATTATTCAAAAGATCAGAAACACTTCATGAAGTGATTCAACCTTTCGTGTAGCAAAAAAGTGAAGGCCAATCAGCCGTGAATTGGTTATTAATTAAGGAATTGAAAGTCGCAGCAGAGTTTATTTTAGATAATCTGGAAAAATATCGCAATTCCTCCATGCAACGCAAACATAGGTTGCTCCGGTCTTTATTTCTTAAATTGGGTGGATCAGCTTTAGGTCCCCCCTTATTTACGCCAATGATCATTTATTGCCTTCATCTGTCGTCATCTACGATTTATTTTTCTGGTTTAAAAAATGCAACGTTGCAAAATAAAACTGGTAATCGTAACTCACGCAAGCAAATGGTTGGTTGGTTGTTTGTCTTCATTGAGAAGATGTTCAGCCAGATACTGGTTCATCTCCGACGTAAGCAAATCAACAGGGGAAAAAACGATACAACAATAAATTAAACAAATAATACTTACAACTTAGAATTGGAACCATCACTTGAGTGTAACAGAAGAAAAAACAAACACCCAAACAAAATTTGAGATGATCAAACATTCGAGCTCCATCATTCGCGGCGTTTAAAAAGATAAGTCCTACAATGGAACATAAATAAAACATAATAATTGAACACAACTAAACACTATATTAAGTAGTCTACTAACCGATAAATATAGCACAAATAATGTGATGACACAGCTGTATCCAGAGTACCGTCCGGCTTCTCATCGTTTTGGTCCACATTAGCCGAAATAGGACCCAAAATTGAACGAAACCAGACACTGCATGGGGACTGTGAAAAAACCGGGTAATTTGTTTCATTTTCTGTACCAACGTTGACACCTTGGGTCGTTGCTGTTCCAATATCATTGACGTAACGGTTGGTTTGATTACAAAGTCGGTTATGGGCTCCAGCGAGCTGGGCTCCTCGTCCAATACCGAGGTAGATGCGATAGCCGCTGGGAGTTGTTGCTTAGTACAGATGGCTTTGCCATTTTGCATTGCTTCAGAGAGAGTAGGAATGACGTCTTGCGAGTCGTTATCACAGACTTCAATTACTGAAACAAAACGAAAAATTAGATCTCGAGACTAGAAAGGTACAGAAATATGAGGCGCTATTACTGAAATCAGCTGGATTGTAATGCCTTGGGCATTCGATGTGCAGATGAGAAAGGAACGGTACAACTGCCTTAGGACTACCCTGGAACACGCATGATCCTCGTGCAATTACATAAATATGGTCAAACAGAGCAAAGATACTGGCTGAAGGTTGATGGATCGTGCAGACCACAGTACGTCCCTGCTTGGCAAGATCTCGGAACAGTCGAACGCAGGTTGCAGCGGTTACTTCGTCTAGCCCACTAGTAGGTTCGTCCAGGAAAAATATCGACGGGTTTGCCACCATCTCCAGTGCAATGGAGAGACGTTTCCGTTCGCCTCCACTCAGTCTATCGGCGGTTACGTTCCTTCGGTTATTGAGGTTTAAATTGGACAGCACATCCGTAATTGTTTCCTCATAGTTTGTTTTTCCTTTGATTTTCAGCTGGCAAGCAATGTGCATCAGTTCTTCAACCGACAACAGCGGTTGGTGATGGTCTTCTTGTGTGATGTAGCATGAAGCTTTTCTGTTCAGGTGAATTGTGCCGTCGACTCCAGATTTCCTGAAACAATCAAACAAATGATCGTACATATATTAATTAAATTTGATGCATGGGTGCTAGTCAGTTGAATCAACAACAGCTGGGTACAAAGTACTCTTTGTTGCAATAAACCGGTTAGAGGAAACCCCCTTGCAATTACTTAGTGCGACCAGTAACTCACAATTCATTTATGTATAGTCATACACTACCCGTTCGATATTGGCACGGTTCGATGTTGGCAACAAAACATCAAAACCGTTCGTTTTTGGCACGTTGCCAAAATCGAACGAATTTTCTTTTTGCTGCTTATGATTACAATTTTTAATGAAACAAAAAATATTAACTACGTCTATGTCATGGGCTTGTTGCCAAAATTGAACGGGTACTGTACTTCATACGTTTCCACAAAGAAGAGGACTGTTTACCGGGCGAAGTGACGAGCACAATTTAGTGGAACGCTTATGCATTCTAGCGTGCCATGGGGAAAATTACTTCATGCAATTTTCCATTTCTTAGGTAGCTCCGTCGCGTCGGTTGGATAATTATTACTATATGTTCTCAGCTGACGCACCTCATGGGCAATAGCGTGCACATTGGAGGCTGATGACGTGTTCTAAGTCGTCGTCGTCACCGCCGTTTACCGATGGGAAATTAGCGGTATCGGTTGTAACACGGAGACGTTTAGATACAGAGTGATTGTGCAATTTCTCACGCAGTAAGCATATTTTGCTGACTTAGCGTAGGTGGGTGGGTCACTGACCTCTCACTAGAAATATTATATGATTTAGAACATGCAGTACCAGAAACACGTTCTTTTATTTAGAAACTTATGCCTGCACCTAGTATTCTCATTGACCTAGTATTATCATTGAGAATTTACATTATCACAACTAATCGGGAACTGCAAGATACCATTGTGTATAAAATATATACGCAATCTGTAATAAATCACCACATATACAAATTCCGTAATGTGGTCGGCGGAAGGCTTTTAAAATTATGTTCAAGTCTAAGTCCAAGCTAATTTCCACCAATACATTGGACCTAGAAAATCAGCTTATAATTTGTGTCACGATCAGGGCGTCACAATATCAGCTTCAATCGACAAAATCGATTGTGTTTAATTTATCTTCCATCCACATCTAAAAAAAGTAACGAAAGCGGGACATAACGTATATAAAACAAATTGACAGAGCAGGTGAGTGTGGGAGAAAGGAAATGAAAGCCAAAATGAGGCTTTGTTTCAACTAGAAAATCGACGTTACTTTCATTGGAAGGGGTGAGTAAAGAAAAGACGAGAAAATCCACAGCCAGTTTGTGGTTCTAAGCTTGCTTCTTTTTCATTTTCGTTTCGCGCTGATAGGCTAGTTAGGCGTTAGGAACCATGCACTTTTACGTAAGGTTTATCGTTTTATTTGTTAACATGACTACAACATGACAACTCGATGATTAAAAAGGAGCTCGTTTGCTTACTGCGCAGAAGACCGTGGGTTCAATTTCAAATCCCAACAATTTTGTTAGGATTTCAATTCAGCTTATTGTTTACCAAAACGAACCCTGCTGCAAACCCAACCTCTAACCAAACCTCCCAGTGATTCCTCGTGGAAGTGCAGAGGACTCCTCGGCTTCTTTAAAAGCGAGTGTCACGTCAACATATTACTAGCCATTCCTTTCTTGACCTGCGTTCGGGCGCAGCCGGCGCTAGTATTGCCTAGTTTGAGATCACCAGTTTTTACACATTGAGGACATTGGCGTAGCTAATGGGGGTGCCAGGGGGCCAGGCACCCTCCAGAATTATCTAGGCCCCCTCCAGAATTATCTAGGCCCCCTCCAGAATTAACTAGGCCTCCTTCAGAGTTATCTAGGCCCCCTCCAGATAAATTGTCTAGCTACGCCAATGATTGAGAATGAATTCTAATACCAAGCATCGTCTACTGGTTCTCTGTGTTATTAATGCTGATCCGGCAATTACAGAGTACAAACAGTGGGCGGTCAATCATGCTCATGCTCATGTTCTGAAATTGTGAGCTTAATCGAGTTTGCTGAACCAGTTCTATAAACGAAAGAGTGAAGTATTGTTATTTCTCATTCCAAAATCCTTATATAATCATAAACCAAAAACGCCACCTCGTGTTACAGTCGAATGAATTTTAGAGAGTGATTTTCTCACTTGAGGGTTGCACGCAAAAAAAATATAACAAATTTCTCCCATATAAATGTCTAATGCCAGTCTAATGCAACATTACCAAGAAGACAAAACTCAGGTCCTCTCAGATCAACTTGAAGCCCGTTTATTTGGTATTCTTGATTACGACAAAGTGTTTGACCGACTCAATCACAAGAATCTGTGGGGCACCCTGATGCACAAGGGAGTCCCGGATAAACCTCATGGAAGAGCAATAAGAGGCTTTCGCGTGCAGAATTCTACACAATGGCGGCTTGTCGATCCTAGATTGTCGTGCACTGCAAACTGATATTGAGCGGTTAACATCGTGGTGCGATTAACAAGGGATTGCAATGCCAAATGTAAAGTAATTAACTTTACTCATGGTCGCCGATCAGATTTGTTTACTCTATGAATCAATCGACACTTGAAAGAGTTGATTCCATTAAGGATCTTGGACTTATCTTGGATAGCAAACTACGACTCAACGACCACATATTGTCGGTCAAGGTGGCCACCGGAAAACCCCACACGTGCCATTCGGAAGGTGCCTGGAAGATGCAATCAAGGCGTCGATGTGGCCAACAAACTCGGTGCAGTTTCTTCAAGTATCGGGCTATTAAGCAACCGAACCGGCTAAAACGCGGGCTCGAAAACTGTATGACCAGGTGCTGACTAAATTCAACGGATGCATCCTTATGGACGATGAAACGTACGTCATATTGGACTTCGAACAGCTTCCGGGACAGAAGTTTTATGTGGTCGCGGAGATGTTCCCAAGAAATATAAATTTGGCGGACAAGTTTGCCGGTAAGCTGATGATCTGGCAGAGTATCTGCAGCTGTGACCAGGAGACTACGATTTTCATCACAATCAGCAATATGAACGGACAGTTATACCATAGAGGTAACTCTAAGACTACTGGGTCCCGAAGAAAATCATTATTATTTTTGGCTCACTCAGTACCAGAACAACGGTCCCAAGCAGTCCCAAGCTATTTCACTCACCCCTGCATGTTCTGCATGAATCCACACACCCCTGATGTTATCTGTCAAACTTTCATAGCGAATCAAAACAAACATAGTGTAGTAATAGAATTTCAACTAGAATAGGGTACGTTAATCGTTTGCTTGGGACCAATAGGCTACTAAAGTGGTGAGCCAATTTAAAATCGTTAGTTTCGTATTGATTGTTGGTTATACCAACTAACGATTTTAAATTGGCTCACCACTTTAGTAGCCTATTGGTCCCAAGCAAACGATTAACGTACCCTATTCTAGTTGAAATTCTATTACTACACTATGTTTGTTTTGATTCGCTATGAAAGTTTGACAGATAACATCAGGGGTGTGTGGATTCATGCAGAACATGCAGGGGTGAGTGAAAAAGCTTGGGACTGCTTGGGACCGTTGTTCTGGTACTGAGTGAGCCAAAAATAATAATGATTTTCTTCGGGACCCAGTGGTCTTAGAGTTACCTCTATGGTTATACATCAACGAATGCCAGTAATACGTGTCTTGCCGTTCATTAGGTTCCACCGGAGCCCCGTCAAGTTTTGGCCAGATTTGGCGAGCTGCCACTGCAGTAAGAATGCGCAACACTGGTATCACGATATTGGAGTAGACGTAATTGAGAAAGGGATGAACCCTCCAAACTGCCCGGATTTCCGGAATGTATTGGGGTATCATCAAAGTTAAACTGAAAAAGAGTAGAAAAATGGCTAAGGATGCTATTTCAATGGCCAGATACTAAAAAAACAACAGCTTTTGCAGAAGTTATCAAGCCCAAAGTTCTAATTTTCGTTCGAAAGGAATAAAAATCGAAAAACTCTTATTGTATCTTTAAACTACAATAAATACATAACATTTTCTTCTAATAACGTTTTATTCTACATTAAACAGATTCTGAGATATATCCATTTGAAAGAGTACCGATTCTAAATTGGGTTCTTTAATTTTAAAAAATATATCGGTTTTTATATAAGGGAAATGGCTCTAATGTTAGCCTATGGATCTAAGATTGGGCCCATCGCTAAGAATCTGCTATTTATCAATTTTATATAGATAAACGCGTCATTGGGACGGTACTAATGGATATTTTTGGTCGCTATTGAAAATTTTGTCGGCTGCTGAATTTATGTATGGGCCCATCTTAGGGACATTAGGGAAAGAGCTTCATTTTCTGAGCACAGCGATATTTTTTTCGAACCCACACACTTTCATAACTTTACTGTTTGACACTAAACTGACAAAATGACAGTTCGCTCCCATACAAAGTGACACCGAGGGGCGCGCTAATAAGGTGATTTTTGCAAATGTAATCGTTTTTATTTAAAATAGTTCCAGTGTACCAAAATTGATGAAATTTTGGTTTTGGGTTACATTTTTAATGCAGATTACGAATATGCATTTCCCTCAATACCCTTAAAGAACCCAATTAGCAGGGCTGTACCATACTAACACTAGTGTGTAAACAAATAGCATAATTTCATAAATACAAATGTTTACTGAAGTGCCATAACCTTTAGCTTCCAGACCTGGGCCACCTACATACAAATTTTATCCTGTGAGAGTACAAAAGAATCATCAAAGCGTGATTTCTTTGAAACTTTAATGACCGAATATATGAGTAGTAATTGATAAACATGCAGCGATACTAGCTCCACGCCTAAAATGCTACCGGTGGCTACTTGCTGTTGTCACCGGTTCTGATCATTACTAGTCGTGCCTGTTCCATTCATGTAAGTACATCCATGCATTGCCAGTTTCATCACGATTCTACCTACTGCATTATGATGATAAGCTCCGTGTGCTGATGGGACATTTGACATGCAGCGGTACTAGACGTTCAATGTCAC